TGTGTATGCATGTATATATGTGTGTTGGTGTGTGTGAGATATGTGGTGTGTGTTGTGCTTGTGAGTGTGTGATGTGAGGTGTGTGCATGTGTGTGTGGTGTGAGGTATGTGTATGTATGCGTGCTGCGTGTATGTATATATGTGTTGTGTGTGTGTGTGTGCTGTGTGTGAATGAAGACAGTTTAAGAGACAGACCACGTGATGTGGGAGGAGACTCTGCTCTCCCTCTCACATAGTAGCAGCAGCAGGAGGAGGAGAACATGGAACACCCAGAGGCCTCCGCACAGAGCTGGAGGTGCCCCCCGGCCTAGGACCCCCAGCTGCCCCTCAGAGCTGCACGCTGCCCAAGGCCCCTGACGTCTCACTGCCTTTCTTGGCCTCTTCCTCATTTGCAGACACAGTGTCTCTGAACACTGTTTGGGATCAGGGACACATTACCTGGACAGTCCCACCTGGGACAGTCTCACTCACACCTGTCACTACATGAAATTACTAACCACCTGCTGCCGGCGAGTTGCTTCCGACTCAGTGACCGTATCGGGTAGATCAGAACTGCCCCTTACGATTTCCAAGACCATCAATCTTTACAGGGGCAGATGGCCTCATCCTTCTCCCAAGGAGCAGCTGGTGGGTTTGAACCACCAACCTTTTAGCTGCGCCAACACTTAATCCACTCCACGAACAAGACTCCTAGGATGACTCCTCATGCATGACCTTTTATTCTTAAGAGGGTCCTGGTTTGGGATAAGTCATGCGGCAACCCTCTCAAGGGCAACTCTCAGCTCAGATAATCTGTCTCCCCCACCTGTTGTACCAGGGGGAACATCAGTGGGCGCTGGACTGCGTACCTGAACCTTCACATCTAACAAGCATTGTGAGGCGTTCACCAGACCTCCCTGAACCCGAGCCTTCTGGCCCTCACATAGTTGGGCAGGCTTGTTGGTGTTGTAAGTGCCGTGCAGTAAGTTGTGGCTCATAGGGACCTCATCTTTGGGGAGCGGCTGGTGGACTTGAACCACCGACCTTGTGGCTAGCAGTCCAGCACCACATGAGAATTCCCTAACTGAGGAGGCCATGACTCTTGAATCAAAAAAGAGTCTACAGAATGAAGAAGGAGCAGTTTTTGCGGTTGATCAATTGTATTGCTTCAAATCAGCAGCTATTACTAAGAAATCCTGGTGATGGGTTACAGTACGCAGGGTGAGTCCGACCCTAGTTCCACCAGTGGGGAACTGAGGCCCAGGAGGGGGCATGACATGTCCTGGTTTGGGAATGTTCTGCAGTGGTGAGCAGTCATGTGTGCCTCATACAAAATGAGTGTGGGATCACGAGGGGGACTGCAGCCATCTGGCATATTTCTGGGCATGTGTAAACCCCAAGGACACCGGCTGTATGAGACTGCATTTGAATCTAGGCCTTGGTTTCCTCAGGACAAGGGGACGAGAAAGGCGGCAGCTGAGCGCAGTTGAGAGGAATAACATTCACAGCTGATCACCCTAAGGGGCCATTCCTACTGCAGTCCTTGGACAATCCCACCAGAGAGCAGGAAATCCCACCCTGCTTTGAAGCTCTCGGATGTAGGGAAGATGCTCTAGATGGCCTCCAAGACACTGACATTTATAGATATTGTTGTTAAGTGCCATCGAATCGATTCCGACCCATAGCGACCCTGTATAGGGTTTCCAGGAGCAGCTGGTGAGCTTGAACCACCGACCTTGCAGTTCAAATGACTGCAGTCTGATGCATTAGCCCACAGCGCCACGCCAGGACTTTGTAGATATTATTATATATATATTATTGCTGGATTTGGGGAGATGGTCCATTCCTTCACTTAGAGTGGTCTTTATGAAAGCCTTTGTCTATGGATTGAATTCTGTCCTACCAAATACGTGCTGGAATCCTAACCTGTATACTTTTGGTGGTTGGGGTCCTGGTGTGGCAGTATAGGATAAGCACTGGACTGCTAACTACAAGGTCAGCAGTTCAAACCCACTAGCCATTCCTCAGAAATCCTATATAGGATCACTATGAGTCAAACTGACTAGATGGCACTTAACAACAACATACCTTTGGTAGAAAGAGCTTTAGGGTGCCAACAGAAAGATCAGTGGTTCGAACCCACCAGCCACTTGATAGGAGACAGATAAGACAGTAAGTTTCTGTGAAGAAAGACTGACAGTCTCAGTGTCTGCACGGGGCAGTTCTATCCTGTCCTACAGGGTCATTATGCGTCAGTATCGATTCAACAGCAGTGGATACACCATTGGCTGAAATCCCATTGGGATCAGGATTCTCTGTGCTATGTTAAGAGGCCACATCAGTGTAGGACGCACCCTACATCTCATCACCGTGGCTTACACGGAGCTGCATAGACACAGGTATAAGGAAGCACATCCTGGAGAACCAGGTACCACATGAAGATCACAAGGAAGCGAGGAATGCTCAGCTACAGAAGCTGCAGGAGACGAAGACCTGACCCCAGAGCCCAGAGCCAGAGCTTTCCCTTAGAGTAGGTGTCCTGAAGTCAGACTTGCAGCATTCTGAACTGTGAGAAAATACATTTCTGTTTGTTAAAACTACCCCCTTGTGGTATGTCCCTTACAACAGCATTAGATAAGGGAGATGTTGCTGCATGGGCCTGTCTCTAGTCAGTGCTCCCCAGAGCCCTTCGTGGGACAAATAAATACATAAACATATTTAATTCCCCAAAGGGAAATGAGAAACCCCATCCTGCCCAAAACTGAACTTGGCATTCGCTCATCTCTCGCGGGATGTCGTACCCTGCAGGGTCCTCAGCTGCTGGAGTCTCTTCTCCTCCACTTCCTGAATCACCTTCCCCATCTGCTGGCAGTATGCCTGAACCAGCTGATTGACACCGGCACTGGTCACGTAGACGCTCTCCAGAGCTGCTTCCATCAGCGATGTCTGTGGGGACAGACAGGACCCTGACTCAGCAGAGGAGTCACAAACAGGAGGAACGGGTGACTCGCTGGCTAACTCCTCCTGCCCCAAGTCATGCCTTCCACCTGGTTTACCAACCTCACTCGGCCACAGAGCAGGGCACACGGTTGGCTTAAGACAGTGTGACAAGCTTATTTCCCTCAGTCGGGGAAGGTCTCACCAAATGAAAATCCCAATTTAGACTGTATTCCAATGGTGATTGTTAAATCTGAAACAGCTGCCCTGAGATCATCTTTTAACTATAAATGAGAAACATCTCCTGAAGTCTTCTTTGAACCAAAAAAAAAAAGAAGCTTATTTTAAGGAGTACCTAAGCTTTGAACACTGGACTTCGAACCACAAGGTCAGTGGTTCAAACCCACCAGCTGCTCCTTGGAAACTCTATACAGGGTGGCTATGAGTTGGAACTGACTCCACGGCACTGAACAAGAACATGCTTTGTGCATTGTGTTCTTTGACAGAATTACCTCTGTGAGACCAAATTGTCAACGGCTACCTAGAGAGGCTCAACAAGAAGCTTAGGAGTCAGTGGGTTTAAGTCCACTTTTGTTGTTGTTAGGTGCCGTCAAGTTGGTTCCGACTCATAGCGACCCTGTGCACAATACAAAACACTGCCCGGTTCTGTCCTGTCTCCGCTGTAGTGCCTGAATTTCAGCCCACTGTTAGAGCCACTGTGTCAATCCATCTCATTGAGGGTCTTCCTCTATTTTGCTCACCCTCAATTTTACCAAGCACAATGTCCTTTTCCAAGGACCGGTCCCTCCTGATGACATGTTCCAAGTACATGAGATGAAGTCTCGCCATCTTCCTTCCTAAGGAGTATTTTGATTGTATTTCTTCCTGGAAAGACTGGTTCACTCTTCTGGCAGTCTTATGGTGTATTTAACATTCTTTGCCACAACTCAAAAACATGTAAAAAGGGATAACAAGAATGGCAGCCCAACTTGAAGACGGTAGCCATCATCACAGAACTGTACATGTTGAAATGGTGCATCGTTGGCTATGTGTATTTTTAACACCAACACAAAATGTTGCAAGATGGAGCTCAGGGAAAGACTATGGTAACAGGGAGAACGCTCTGATCACAGATCAGCAAGCATCTCAAGAGTTACATTCTTTTACAGAGAAGAGAATAAACAAGAGTAGGAAGATGGAAGGAATACACAGAGTCACTGTACCCAAAAGAAACGGTCAATGTCCAACCATTTCAAGAGGTAGCGTATGATCAAGAGCCAGTGATACTGAAGGAAGAAGTTTTATGGTCTTTAGAGTTTCTGGGGGAAAAATTTGACTGATTCTTATAAAAGACCCTTCATATATTAGCATACATTGACAGAGAACTTCCAGAGGTTCAAGCTGGATTTAGAAGAGGCCGTGGAACAAGGGATGTCATTGCTGATGTCCGATGGATCTTGGCTGAAAGCAGAGATTATCAGAAAGATGTTTACCTGCGCTTTATTGCCTATGCAAAGGCTTCTGATTGTGTGGATCATGACAAGCTATAAGCTATGGACAACATTGCAAAGTCTGAGTATTCCGGAACACTTAATTGTGCTCATGAGGAATCTGTACATGAACCAAGAGGCAGTTGTTCAAACAGAATACGGGAACATTGAATGGTTTTAAATTAAGAAAGTTGTGTGACAAGGTTGTATTCTTTCACCATACCTATTCAACCTGTATACTGAGCAAATAATCTGGGAAGCTAGGTTCTATGAAGAAAAACGTGGCATCAGGATTGGAGGCAGACTCATTAACAACCTGTGATATGCAGATGATACAACCTTGGATAACTATCAACACTCATGGAAGCAGCAGTCAAGAAATCAGACAACGTATTGCATTAAGCAAATCTGCTGCACAAGACTTTTTTAATGTGCTGAGGAGCAAAGATGTCAGCTTGAGGACTAAGGTGCGCCTTACCCAAGCCATGGTATTTTCAATAACCTCATATGCATG